ACAAGGGAGTACCTTGCTCTGATACCAATTGAAAGTGCTAGTGATCGACTAGAGGGGGGGGGGGGGTGAATAGGCGATTTTTATGAAAGTCGTCAAGACATGGAAGTTTCGAAGACAAACGATAGAAATAAACCTATTACCATGCAGCGGAAGCTAGACTACACTAGGCAAGCCATAGTCAAGTATTCAATGAAGTGAAAGCACAATGAGTAATAGCAGCTAGGCAGTAAAGATCAGGTAGGAAGATATTGTGAAGCCAATTAGAACAAGCAGTCACTCAGTAAAGACAAAAGATAATGCAATCATACAATAACTTCACAAGGACCAACAGTAAGGAAAGGGAAGGGAAGGATGAAACCAGTGAATCGTTGAAGACAATGATTTGTTGGACCAGTTCCAGTTGCTGTGACAACTGTACGTCTGGTTAGGGAGGCTGAGATTCAACTCAGAAGACCTCGTCTTCACCTTATTCCCCTTGAGCTAAGGACACCCAGTCCTCGCCCAATCACTCTGGTAAGTCTTCAAGGTAGACTTCCAAACCTTCACAGACTTTGTTCACCGGCGATCCACAATGACTCTTGGATGCTCAGAATGCGATGCCTAACCGGCTGGAGGATTCATAGTCCTCAAGTGTAATAAGTCTTCAGATCACACAGACATGAAGACTTAAGTGATGCCTAACACTCTTTGGCTCCGGGTGTTTAGGGCTTTATCCTCGCAAGGAATTCTCTCTCAAAGGCTTCGAGGTGGGTTGCTCTCAAACGACAAAAGCCGTACTCTAACTCTGAGCAGCCAACCGTTTATGGTTGTAGGGGTGGGCTATTTATAGCCACTGGGCAACCGACCTGTTTTGTCCGAAATGACCCTGGGTCACTAAGGAACTGCCACATGTTCCAACGGTTAGATTTCAAACACACACGACAACTTTACTTGGGCTACAAGCAAAGCTGACTTATCAAACTCTGGACAAGATTTGCTCTCATAGTCTTCACTCGAAGACATAGGATTTTGATTAAGCATCACTTCAGTCATTCTGACTGGTTCACTTGGACCACACTTAACAGTACGGTGGTTCCTATGACTCAACAAAGAAAAACACAGAACAGCGAAACTGCTAAGTCTTCGCGCTCCATAGTCTTCACGCGATGTCTTCTCTTATCATAGTCTTCAATGTGAATGTCTTCACATACCACCTTTGACTTCAATGTCTTCTCACATTTTTAGGGGTCATCTCTAGTAGGAAAACCGAATCAATGAGGGACTTCTACTTGTGTTATCCTGCAATTCTCACAAACACATTAGTCCCTCAACTAAGTTTGTCGTCAATACTCCAAAACCAACTAGGGGTGGCACTAGATGCACTTACACATCTTGTGTCTGAAATTTTCGCGCGTGTCAGGTGTTTACGCCAAGGTCAAAAAACGGAGGTCATGTGATGAGCGGTGGCAAGGAGTGCCGACGCCGGCAGGCCAGGATCGCACCAGAGAAGGGGATGCTGCTGCGAGCGGCAATAAATGGTGACATCCCAGGGGGAGCCAATGAAGAGGGTTGGCGGTTCAAGTTTGGGGGATGGTGGGGTTGCCGGCGCAGAAGAACAATAGGTCGATGGATTTAATGATTTGGCATTGGGCGGTGGTAGCACAACCTTGGGAGGTGGCAAGGGGAGGGTGGGGGGAGGTAGCGAGGCATGCGCGGTAGCACCGTGCGCCTTCCACGAAGACGAA